TTTTCTCAAATTCGAAATTGCACAAGTGTCATTTTTAAATCTACTTAATTACAGGTAACGATAGAATTAAGTGCGTTTTTTTTTATTACAACTTAATAGTTACTATAATATATGGCCTCGACAACATGAACCTACACTTTTGAGTGCTCCCGAGCAAGCTTGATAAGAGCGTCCGAAAATCATAAAATTTGAAGCTTTCCTATTTGCTGATGTCACAAAATATGCCAAATGCTTTTGGCAAAATACTCGACCCGTTTATAGATGGCTGCTGAGATAGAATGCGACTATTTTTTGCTCCGAACATTAGCCACGCGCACAGTGGGCACATAAGGCCTGGCCAAATTTCGTCCTGCGGGTACATCACAGCAAATGTTTGATATAAATTTCAGATTTATTGTAATTATCAGCATTTCCGGCTAAAACTTATACGAGGCACGAAGTATTCATCTCAGTTCGAACACTTAATAAACTTATATGTGAAGTGAGCTTTGGGGATTGTACGGTGTTTATGATCGAGCCAGCCATGCGTTCGTCGCTACCCATTCGCGTAGTAACTTGATAAAATTAACGGTTGGACGCTGCTTGCAGAATAATATGTATATAAGATTGATCCAATCATTGTTATTTGTTCTGACAGATTATTGTATTCCGACTTAGCAAGAAATGCCGAACGGAATAGTCCGACTTTGAACGCCTGATCATAGAGCACATACAGCTTGAAGAGCTGTTGGATGATGTCTTTTGAATATCTGGATACGATATGTAAATATGTAGATCGGATCTGAACGGCTTTATAGAAATAAAATTAAATGAAAGCTTAAAATTGCTTCAATTCCCTGGAAATTTACACAAGCAATAAAGACCAACTGTGTCTTTTTCAAAAAAAATTCTTTATAATGTTTTATTGGACAAGATTGGCGAGCCGTTACAACTTTATCATCGCCAGCGGAAAGCAGTCCCCTAGATAAACGCTCCAAATCTTAGGTTGAGCGGTGCCGTGGAGCGTTGCGTCACCGAGCATAAATGAATGTACGTTTCGCCTTTTACTAGACACATCCATTGGAGATGCCTCATCCAGCGACTCCTGGACCCTTTATACATATATATTTATACGTGTATATATAAAGGTAGGTAGAGTTGCTCAGCGTACTTACCAGCTGACAGAAATAAGAGAAAGAAGAGCTTCACAATCACCCGCTTCAACGTTAGCCCACGCGAGGAAGCGGGCTGGCGTATCGGTGTTACGGCAACATATCGTTTGTGGGTCTCATATTGCCAACACAACTGCTGTTTGAGGCAGTGGCTTGACAGCCGCAGGCGCTGCTTGCCAGCAGTAACACTTTGTCTCAGTGGAGATGTTCGTTCTTTGCTAAGTGCGTTTTCAGAAACGGACGCTAGCTTCTTCAGCGTGTGATCTCGGACCACTTCAAACGACTCGGCATTGGAATTGCTATTAAAAAAATACCTGCTTTTCTAGTACGTTGGTTGAACGTTGGTTACGTTGGTGACAGCGAACGTTGGTTGAAAGATATCGTTAGCTCGAGCTGGACCCTTGCCGTACACAGAATATAATTACGTGTAGCAAATAAGACAAACAGCGACGAGCCGGGGGGTCCTCACTTTATTTTTCCTTTAGCCCTTTGTTTATGACATTTATTTTCTTGCTACATTAACAAATGTAAAACGCAAACTCTCCAATAATGGTTGCTTCATTCTCATTCAGCTCTCTTGCGCTTTTTGCTATTAAAGCAATATGCTTATATTGAGTTGCTTGCAGCATTACAAACAGTTACCGTTTGCTTATAGGGAATAGACGACTTGAAATTCTGTATGGTTCCCATGATATTGGAGTCGAAATTTGCGTCCCAACGTTGTAATCATCTGAGCTCTCCAGATTTTTAGGGTCGTTTGTTAGAATTTCAGTGCACGATAAACGTTTATGACCTGGGGCAATAACAAAATCGAATTTTTATGCGAAGCACGTACATACTAATCAGAGCCTTGCTCGTAGTATAGAACATAATCGCTTTCGATGTGCCTTTGGGCATTCGATTTTTGCTAACCTGAACGGCTCAGATTATTCCATTATAGCATTTTACTAGTGAGTATTGTGCTGATTTACTTTGCTTTTGATATTTTTCACCAGATGGCGTACCGCCATCGGTACTATTGACGAGTTAAATGTACTCAAATTATCCAACGGCCCGCTAGATTGACGGTCTAACAAGTCTGAACAAAAGCACCGCTACCACAGTACATCGATTGTTTGTCGACTGTGGTTGTACTATTTGTTGTTCGAACTACCTTGGTCCGTTACGTTGTTTCAAAAAGTCCTCCTTGTTTCGTTAACCAAGCATCTAAAACTGTCCTTGCATTTTTACCAGTACGAGATGGTGGACTTCATCTGGTGAACTTTTTGCTCATGCGTCCATAGAGACTTAACAGCAATTGAAATCAGGAAGTAAGTGCTTTCGCACCAAATAACCATGGGAACTTACTGGCTAGCTTTGAAAATAGAAAATTATGACAATTTCACCGAAACTAAAATTTTGAGTTAAGTTGGCGCCTCGAACCTATCCTACATTCAACGCATGACTCACAGAACAACAAACGAGAGTTCAACGTTGTTTTTTCTATAAGAAAGCTCACCGTTTTGACTTTCAGTCAGGACTGGAAAATCAAACTTAAAGGCTTTCCGGTTAAGGACGACCTGCATAGGTCTAATGGAAAGTCACTAGTAAACCTAAGTCAACAGAGAGTCCTTAAGAAGCTTAGAGTGCGAATTCCTACCCGGGAGCAGTGAAGCTAGGTCAAAAGCTGAGACTGCTGGATGGCGCCAGGCGAATGATATGTGTCGCAATGACGAATGATGAACGGCAGGAATTCCGACTATCCTCTATACTGGAGGCCTCTAAATTTCAGATAGAAAATATTCGAAGTGCCAAACAGGGTACCCGCGCGAATGAGTCAACTAGTTGGATACTAACGATCATTTGAGGTCGAGATGTAGGTTACCGATTTGCAAGGCTGTCATTGAACTGTTTCCGTTTGATTGAAATGATAATTTCTTATAAAAATAGTACGCAAAATTGTCTAATAGCGAGTCCAGGAATTTCTTCTTTAGGGTCCGTGGAACAACACACACCCTAAATTTCGCCTGTTATACTTGCCCGCTGTCGCCGTTCTCTTTGAAGAGTTGAGTTCTATCTAAATGTTTCGTACGTTATTTGACGTAAGTCAAAGGTACCGTGTACTTCATCAGTGTCGTTCATATACCAATGCCTTGCTTTACGAATCGTATGTCCTGAACATTACCTTTTCTAATAAATGCCATAATAGTATCATTAAGGTGCGGTCTACTACAGTTATATGCCAATTTTATGATAGTTTTTCGTTCTCAATTTAGCTAATTGCCAACGTTGACTTTGCTCACTGCGGTTGACTTGTGTCGGACTGCAGAATGGAGCTAAGAGCAGATTGTTTATTGGCGTCTTGCGTAAAACAGGTTCATTAGTTCATTCAAACTTCAGCCGTCCGAAGCCTTGCAGGTTTAAACGAACCTACTTCATACATCGAAAACAGCAAGAAATCCATTGTTATAAACCTAGTGTTTTTATGGGCAAATAGGCAACATCGTTGAAATTTTACACATCATAGATCAATAGCTCAAGAGGAACATGATCAGTTTACTAAAGCGCTCAAAGACTGTGTAAGTATCAATGGACAATATAATTGCTGAAATGAAAAAAATTTCGAAAGAAGATAATTAGAGATAATAGATTAGACAGTTAGCGCACCATGTGGGTTTCAAGAATTGCTATTTAGACGGCTGCAAATCATAAACGAAGGAACAGAGCATGTAATATTTATGACTCTTAAGCGACCAACGTTTCAAAGCTCGTTTTTGCGAACATTTCAAGACTTATCCTGCACGTCACCATACAGCATGCATGTTGAGACACAGCAGGTGACTGCCGTGTTTTGACGTGGACTTCACGAGTATAACGAGTTGGCTCCAGCAAACGAGCGTAGACTTGAATAGATTATAAAGAACGCTGTTTTGGTCGAACATTTTAGCTGGGAGAATCAAAGTATAAATGATGGTATTGTGTTACTTTTTTTGAAAAGCGTCTATCAAACAAGTAAAACACCTACTTCGACATAGCTAGAGGTCAGGGCAAAAACGAGCGTGGTATTGAGATAGGCGGTCAGCATTTATTTCCTCTTGTCAATTTTCAGTAGATGTTAGACGATTCCTGCGACAGGCCATATATTTCATCGCGCGTCCTTTAAGTTTAGATAATATATACATACCCGTGCAGTAAGTATAGGCATGCTAAAAAAAAATACTCTTTGATTTTCCAACTGGGCAGAACGCCACGAAATGTTGTTGTTCTTGGTTAGTAAATAACAAATAGTAATAGTAGATCGAGTTATATACCTGTATGTACTTGTCGTTCATTACCAACACTTTTATGGGGCTAACACGTTTATTCCAAACCTCTTAAATTCCATTATCATAAGATAAACATTATCACGCTTTAGCTGTGGAATTATTTATCGCTAACTCAATTTGTGGACAGTACTTGGAAACATACGTATCACCGTGTTTGAGATGTCTGTGCCATTTTTCTAGAACATCCCTAACGTCTGATTTAGACTTCAACGTAGATTGTAATGGTGCTTTATTCCGTATATCCTGCCACAAAGCTACCTTGTTAGTTACAGACCAATGATGGCCTATAAATGAGATCAGATAGGTATGAGGATAAATTTTAGATGAGATGTCCTTGACTTAATGTTAGATTATAGCGAGAATCATATAAACGACCTAAACGTAAGCAACTCGCTTTTGGTTACAAATGGGAATTATCATCTATATTATACTATCAAACTTCTGCTCTCTGACATTTTAAAAAAGCTTTTATTCTATTTGCTATAAATAATTCGTGTCGAAATCACGATGTTTCGTTATTGCCCAAGTACAATCGGCCTTTTTTCCCAGTTTTTCTACTGGTGAACCTGCATAGTAATGTAATTCAGTCTAAGCAATGAAGCATCGAGGTTCAGTCATTGACCGATGGCAACGCGCACGGAAAAGGTGGCGGGTCTTACCACCAGCTTTCAATGAACTTTTCTAACCTTTCTCGAATCAAACGACTTCTTGAAGCTATCCATGTCTAGACGCCGCAACAAACAGCGACGAAATCTGGCTCCAGATGAACTTGATCGAGTATACCCACTGGGTTTAGAGGATTCCATACATCTGTAATGTCAATCGTCAGCGTCTACCAGAGAACGAACCTTTGGCATCGCCCTCCTAAATTAATAGCTCGGTATAATTTTGCCGATGCAAATTCGATTATGAAATCGAAAAAAGATCGCAGGATATTTGGTCGCTTGAAATGTGTTATTATTCGCTAGAGAAAAGCACACAAAGGAGGTCCAAAAAAGGTATCTTCGAAAAGTCGACGTCCGGCTCTGAGGACCAGTATCGGCCTAGCTTGGAAGTGCATAAGATCAGAATCGGAAATCGAATAACATGCACTCTGAGAACTATTATGGAGAATGGTGCGATATTTCGGCACTCTATTGGCGTTCAAGACAAGCGACCGATACGACACTGAATGTTTTCTTCTCCAGCGATTAGTCGAGTTATCGATTACATTGAAAACGCCGAACGGAAGATCGTAACTTTGAAATAAAGTTGCTCAAGTTGACGTAGCAGGTGGAACAGCCTATAAGGTATTGTCGACAGAGCATGATCACGATGGTCAGTTATCGTCAGGTGCACACATAATTGATAAGCTTGAGGTGCATTATGAAGTGCTATATACACGAACTTGTCGAACAGAATTGGAGTGGTACGGAGAACTTGCTATGTACTTATCGGACCAAGGCGAAATATTTTTTGTATCCGATTTTTACATTAGGGGATTCATTGTTGTAGGATTATCTCGTTATGAACAGGAATGGATTTAGTTCTTCCAGGAAGTCTGACTTCTTACCGGCAGAAATTCTTGACATAATATTAGGTTTTTGACACAATTTATCCCAGTCAATAATATTTTCGTTGATTGTATCGTTTCTGGGTATTCGATTCGTTAGCAAGAAGCGTATCGTCTTCTATATAGGTACGACGACGAGCGGCTGCATTACCTAACAATGGCAGTATTCAATTTTGTTTGAACTTTCAAAAGGTGCACCGAGACGCGGTCGTTAACTTTCCTGTTAGTTACTTTTATGGCTCTAAGACCCTTGACCTGCTTCAAGTTTATTTAGAATTAAAAGCAAGATAATTTGTTTGCACAATTTTATTTGACATCAAGATTTGTCTGCTGGGCGCAAGTGTATCAATCTTTATTTTCAGCTTTCATGGGCCTTTCACCAGGACTTCAGGACCTGCTAATTCTTTCTCCAACCTCAGTATCATCGATATTACTTTTATTCGGCCTCAACCATACGGTTGATCACCTAGACCCTTTAGGGCGATAGCTACTAGGAAACGAGGTGATTATAAGCGTCTGTCATTCGCGACAGACCGGCGGAATAACTCATTGCAGCTAGAAGAAAAAATCGTTTTGATTGAAGCATTGCTTAAAGCGTGGAACGTACGTCTTTACAGAAAGTTGTTTACGACAATGAGGTCGGCTTCATGATGCCGTGATTGTTGCTGATATATATTTTGGCAGTGATTCTACCTGTGTAACAAATACTTGCTGTACAGTAAGAACTACAGACATTGATCAGTGTCAAGATGCGTGCAGGAAGTACAAACAATGGTATATTATTTAAGTATATGGAGCCTAGACAAGCAAATAAGAGTGGGAATAAGCCGCGGTAACTCAGTGGTTGGCACCATTCGTTGGCAGCGGTGATATTGCCCTACGGCGGTGATACTCACGTCCTTCCCGGAGTCCAGCGTTGTGAGCACCTTCCCTCAGGAAGATTTAACATGGAGTGTAAACGATTCATCGGCGACCCCGTTTATACTACTGACCCCGGGGCGGAGTCCAAGTTTCGGGCGCCTTGCCCCAAAATGACCCCGCTCCTCGCAGTTAGAGCACGTGCAGGCGTTTGTCGACCTAGTTATCATGCCGGGAGGTGCGATAACTTCGAGAAGGTGCGCCTGGACTTCACGGACTATTTGAGAGCCTTGGGCTGCACGGCTTCCTAGGTTTTGGTGACGGTCGACTATTGTGCTCGTTTCAACCAATTCGTGCTCATGAAGGGCCACGCCTGGACCTGTAGTTGGAGCACGAGAAGTTTCGCTATGTTCCTTCGAAGGCCTCGAAACCTTCGTGACTACAAATCGACCTGTTTCACATCGCGAAAAGTAACTACCTCAGATGAAGCTACATTGGGCATATCCAATGCTACGGTGTAGTTTAATGTATAGATCAGGTGGTTACGGAAAAACTAGGCCCCTGAAAGCCGAAGGGCACAGTTCGCTCTACAAAATGCTAGCACAAATGCGTTTTTGTTTAACAAGTCCATGAGCCACGACTTGCGCAGACATCGCTGAACTGCTTTTCACCTACCAAGCCCTACTGCCCAAAAAGTTTGCCGGTCGTAAGGATGCAAAGGGCCTATGTGCTGTGGTATTGTACCTGTGCGCGCACCATCAGCTCTGGGATTAGCAACAGAAAGCAGAAAGGGGCACGAGCAGAAGAAGTCCGGGGACGGTGCCAACGTGTTGCTGCAGCGTTTATATAGGACGTTGCTATTTTACTGCCATGGGGCTTTTGCTATAATGAGTAAACTGGCAACACAATTATAGCGTCGCTACTCCTCCGGAACGCTAACTCACTGTGAAAGCAAGGTATGTGCGCCGTATGGTAAGAAACATAGACGGTAGCATAGTGAGATGCAAAGAAAAACAAGCTACCTAGGCTTTTTCTAGGTAGGATGGTAGCAGAACGTTTTTGTTTCTGCAAATTTTAGCATCGAAGTGGTAATGTAATGATGCTCCATGCGTAATATATTCCAAATGGCGTGACTACTCACACATGACGACATATAGTAACTGTCTGAATGAGCGCTTCACATCATAGCGCTTTTATAGGATCGGAGTTTTCAGACACGAACTTCGGCAAGTCCTAAACGCAGACAGGCAATAATATTGGGCTTGTTTACCATTGGACAATTGATTATTTTTGGTAATAAAATTGAATGGCTTCGAGTAGTACTAGGATCGGGTATTTAACTATGAAAGTTAAATGAATTTAAGATCACCTGCACTGGAATAGAGGTTTTTTTAAAACCATTTTATTTATTATATTATAACTATATTGTTTTGTTATTATTAGCGTTACTGGGTATTGTCATCTGTCGATTTTGCAATTCTCAAATCGAAAGAAACTTTTTCTGGGGCTACCATACTACTCTTCTCACCTCTTCTTTAATAGTTCTGATTATGTAAATTCCCCTTATATTGTGAGGTTAAGAAGGACGTCTTAGATAAATCACCACAAAACCCGGCCACAATTGTCTGCTTCAATAATCTAGACTAACCGTCTGAGTAGCATGAACTGGGACCGTGATAAGTGAAATTATATTGTCCCTTCGATGGTTCAATAGTAACGTATTTACCTGCTGGATTCAGAGAAACTCGGCTGGTTGGTTTAGATTCGAAATTGAGTGTAAACAAAGACGCACTTCGTTTTGCGTTAAAAGACGTCAGCCAGCGGTCCGAAGCAACCCTTAGAGATAGCAGTAAGACCAAACGTAAAGTTTGAAATATTAGGTAAAGCTAAGAAATGAAAAGCTAAATACTAATCAGATTCTCAAAGGTAAAAGATCAGGCTCTCCTTTAATTTACACTGAAAATAAAACACTTATTACTAAGCAGTCTTTATTCATGAGTCTATCGTTTACGGGCACTTGCCAACAACTTCTTCAAGCATCTTCTGTATAGACTACATCTGAATAAATTCAAAACGAATGTTTTTTAAGACTCTGGCTGAGAAGTGAAGATCAAACGTCGCTGAATTACTTCGAACGGTTCTAGCGGTTATGACTGAATAGGTCACCCCGTACGATAGAGACAGCCTGCATTGCCAACTGGGCTTCTCATGTTCAGCTATCTAACTGTTCTCAGTCTCACTCCCTAAAGTCGTGTCTGTTTAAATTTTTATTAAAATCATTGAAGTTATCGCCAATAGTCAGCTGTGTTTAACGTACGACTCCACCCAAGATTTCGTAATTAAGTATGTCACGGACAACTCGGACGAAGTATAGCGGAATGTAGCTCTGCGTAAATTGTGAGCGCACCTTGTAGCCTTCACGATCGTGTACTGCAGTTAGGCGCAAAAAAAACGTATTTTTGCTAGTCGTTAAATTCAATATTCTAAATTTTTTCTAAATTTTAAAATAACAGCCGAGTAAGCTTTAGTACGCGCGTGTCAATGGGATTTAATTATGTAGCTGTCGAAATGGAACCTTTCGAAAATTGAAACACATAGACATTAGTGAGAATGAAAAGAGTTAGCCATCTTGTGATTATTAGCTGCTCCCTATATAACACATGATTGTATTGCAATATATATAGTCGTTTCAATTTAAAGTGCAGAATGGAATACATGCTCGTTCTTGTTAGCCTGGACCTTTTCATAAATAGTACCCAATTTAATAATAATAAATAGTACCCAATTTAACAGTTATTATACACACTGTATTCTTAACTTGGCATTTGCTTACCCCTCACACATACTCTAAAGGACATTTTCCGATTTGAGCACAATCGTCCTGGTACAAGCCTACGATTATGGTGAAGACTTGAAGCCTGCATAGCTGGCATGCCTTAAACAATTCTAGCATCGATTTGTGGTCGCTCTTTGCCATGCGCAGCCTATGCAGCAGCTATCCACATAGAAGGGTATGTTCTTATGGTTTGCTACGATCGTAGAAATTAATTTGTCGAGTTATCGTCCGACATTGCTTTCAGTTATTGCTTTAAATGGCTGGTCCCTTAGAGCACGCAACGAACCGTGGGTATACGTCCGAGTTCAAACCCAGAATAACTTACATATATCTGTAAATTTGGTAGATAGAAACTGCACCACTACCCTATTCGGTTAATGTAGGCGTTTGCTGTTAACGCGATGCTCTTCATCGTATCACCCACATTTCCTTCGTTTGTCAAATCAATGAGGCAGTCTGTCTCGAAATAAATTATCTAAGCACTTTTAAAGTTTTTTTTTTTTAATAATAAACTTAACTGTTGTAGGACTGTTCATTACATACGGTTTTGGTGCTGAGAGTAAATCACAGACATACGTCTGTTTGCGCATATGTTTATCGCACTCCTGCGAGGGTTTTTCCAGCTGGATCGATATCAATTAGTATATCTCAACTAACCAATGTCATATTTTTTTCGTACTACCAATTTCAGGCAAAAAACCAGGACAAGCAAGGTTTTACTTCCTCTACTTAGCAGCTTGGATGTGTTTAAGTATAATTTTTTGTACGAGCTATAGCCGGAAAGATGTTACCAAATCATATTAAATAAGTGAGATAACTTCTAGTTTCTCAAAAAAGCAAAAAGGGAAATTCAGTACTCTTAGTGATTAAATGGAAAACGTTCACACGAGTGTTTAAATTAGTTAGCGTTGGCATTACGCCACTGATATCTAACGCAGAATTATTAGTTTTTTTAACTAACGAAGGCCATTTAAGGATGCACCACCCAGGGGAACCTGAGGCAATGCAGATTTCTCAGTCGCTTTGAAGCCTAAGCCCAGTCTGGCAGACACTCATGGAACGGCTCGCGAGAGTTTAACGATATCGAGATAGGTTGAACAAAGACCCTCGGGGCGTTCTGGGTGCGCTTTGAAGTGCATTCGGCCCCGCCTTAATTTTTCGGTGTCACTGGCAGGGAAGCCTGTAGTATTCGACAGGGTTAAGAAGCACATATATCACTTCACGAGCCAGGGTTATTCGAAATCAATAACGCTACAGAAGATATAGAGCCGGTCAGTGACATAGTGCGTCGCTATCAAAATCATATTTTTTTGATGTGGGTTGCTCGGGTATGTTATTAGTCTTAGGTTTGTTATTAGGGCTTATTCCAAGGCAACGATCAAATTGTTCAACGTGAATTGTTTACTCAACAAAATCGACTACATACAAATTTACTTAGAGATGTTTGCCGGAAGAAACGACAATTTAAAACCCACGTGAAAATCGTTTTCTTCTAAAACCAACGTGTCGGCCGAAGACGTGTGCCTCTATTTAAATAAGAAAACTATTTCGAAGTAAAAAAAAATGCATAAAACGTAAGAACGAAGTGCAAACTTGTGCAGGTACAGGCTGGGCAGTGCGACAAATAGAGTGTAAGGCATAAGTATTTTACTTAAATTCATATCTGGAAAATTTTCATTAGCCGTTCTCGATTGAGGACTGTTTCTTAATCGAGCTAGTCTTGAAAACAATCTCACAATACGATCGATATGTTATAGAACAGCTTTGAAAGCTAAATCGTCGCATCATGGAACTAAATCCGACATCGGCTAGTTGTGAAGCCTGCGCTCGAAGCGTACCAAAAAAAGCGATTATTAAATAGATCTTTCACTCTTTTTTTGAAGCTCTTATCCTCGTTGGAGTGAATTCACATTGTTCAATAACTGCCGCAATGAAAGCGAATATTTGGCGGGGGCCTTACGCAGTTACGCAAGAGCCTAAATTGGTTTCCTTCATGGCTCGCGACTAGAGGCCGTGTTACATGCTGTCTGTATTTATTTATTCAATCGCGAATCTAGTCGAGATGGGCTCTGAAAACAAATACGTCCGACCCATTGTATGTTTATTGCATACAGTTATAATGACTGTTTATGCAGACGATAAAGTAATAACATGTTTTAAACAGTTTGGCGGTATAATTGAGAACCTGAGTAACTGCAATTCGTCAATAAACAGAGCTGAGTTAATTTCAAAATAGTGTTCTTAGTAACAGACACGCATAGGCAGGAGGGGCGTGTTTCTTAACTTTTTTCGGTATGAAGCACAAGCGTGTACGTGCCGTAGGGCGATGTGAGAGATGTTAGCTACTACGTACGTCGTAATAAAACCTATTTTTTTGCCGTGCTAAGAGTTTGTCTTGTTATATTCAGATGATTATTTAGATGCATGGGCATGTGACACACATTGCGGCCAACTAAATACGGCTATTAGGTAGATTTGAATAAATATCAACGCTAAAGCTATGTTATGTAACCTTGCGGCCCATGCAACTGTTTGCCCGTCTGTTAAGAAATTTAGTAGTTCTCAGAATCAACCTTGTTCCATATTTGTTCGTGACTGTTGGATGATGCAGACAGGAAGTTAGACATAAACCACATGTTTGCCCCAAGGAGCCCATGAACGATCCAGGCACCTGGAGATCCTGTCTTGCATTGATGTCGCTCAAGGGATCAGTCACTGATCATATTCGCGAAATCCACTTGGAGCTCTTCCGATAATATTTTCCATGGAAGATGGCCATCTAACAGAGATACAGTTGATATTTTCTTTGAATTTACGTCTCCAACGTTTGGCTGCCAAAACATCTAGTTTTACAGTTGGAGATTTGGCAAAGACTTGAACCATGAACGCCGATCCTCCAATGTGTAGTGTTTTTTAAAGTGTAGAATTTCTCGGCACTAAATAGAAAATCTTGGCTCAATAGTTTCATTGGGCATTTGAATGAGCATCATGATCATTTGCGTTAGAAATTTATATTGATTATATAAATTAAGATGCCCTATTAGCGATTGGCTAGACTGTCTCTTTTTCACTCGACCCCATTTGTATGGACCGGAGTCGCAAGTATAACCTTCACGGCCACTGATAGCTTGTAACGGATGCGCTTCATAAAATCATCCTTTGGTACAACAAAACTACGTTAGGCAGTTGTTATGTAAGAGGAGAAATCTACTTAGCATTTACATGTACTCCCTAGTCCTGGGAGGTAATCTTCGACGAGTAAGGCCACAGTCCAGAAACGTCCTTCCCTGGTGCTTCAGATTTATTCAAATGAATAAGCGACTACCGTAATAAAGTCAGCGATACTTGAAATGTTCTCAACAGTTCACGGCCACAAATAACTATATTTTTTGAGGATGGAAATTAGGTAATATAGCGTTGCTTGCAACCGAAACTACATTTTTATTACAGAGCCAATTAGGATAATTAATATCAGTAGTCCAGTATGTAAAATATCAGATTTTACTATGAACGACAATATTTGCTATATTATAAATTATAAATGACATTTTACTCGAACGATTGCCTCATGATTTTTTCCAAGAGCCCAAGATGAAACACGGCTTGCACTTATGTAGACTTCATTCGGGGTGTTTATATAGTCTTCCCGTGAAATTTTAGTGAAATCTATAAATTGATAGCAGTCGAATGAAGACCATATTTCTGCACGGGAATTTTTTTTTGTTATATATAATTATTATATTTTATATAATCATCATCATCATCATCACCATCATAAACATCATATATAAATGTTTGCCATAAAGAAAAATACTCGGCATAATTCGCCTTCAAGACCACACCTCGGATATCTTAGCACGCAACAGGGTTTGTTTGATTGGGCTATCCCTTATGCCGTTAATTTTACTGATTTTTATTTGTAAAGTATTAGAAAAGGCGGACATGGTCATCTTTTATAATTAACCGCTGCAACGTACCTTTCAAAGCTGCCGATCTTAGGAAACAACGTGAGCGGATGTGGGTGGAGGAGGTATCGTGGGCTAGCAACACATCTATTAGCACAACGATTTGCTGCCTAGTAGGAGGTGGATGTATGCCTTGTTCCCTGACCTGGGACCGGGAACTGTGGACGAGATTTACTACAGAACTTTCGGAGTCCTCTTTCGGCCTGATAGCTTTGTTTACGACAAGAACAAAAGACGTACAGCGCGAAAAGCTGAGCGCGAAACATGCAGTCTGTGGCGCCTGTTTTCCCTACCATTCATCAAAAAATAAATGCGTCTTGATTGATCGCGGTAAATCTATCGTTGATTTCCTGGTAAATCATCAATTTTCGTCGAAGTAGATGTGAAGTATATTTATGATTATAACCGATATCTGGAAATACATATGTGTTCCATTTGATCGTAGCTTGCGACCAGCGATCTAACAGAGCGAAGCAAGGAGCAATTAGATAAAAGGCCATTACATGGTAGATGGCGACAAGTTGACGCAGTGTTAGACACTATGCGTAAGGAGGCTGAAGGCTGCGATTGCTTTCAGGGACTCAGACTGACGCTATTCCACCGGTACCAGGTCAGGAACGAGTACTCTGATCCTATAAACAAGTATTCCGATCGTATCATGAGCTTTTTGGTTACACGTTCACTTAAGGCTAGTGTAAGGAAATGATTCAAACCCAGCTATTCGCAAATGGTTCGTACACGTTTCTCCGTAAATGTTTAAGTGTAGTTCGTAAACTAGTATTCACCTAACATGTTTATAGTCATATCGGTGCGCAATTTCTATTGTCAGTTCGGTAGACAGGCCAAGTCCTACAACGCGATTCTTTTAGTCCACCAACTGCTTCAGACGTTCTCTTTTTGCAATGAAACATTGTACGGTATCTGCTTAAATTACAAGTTCTTGTATAGCTCGAATAGAATAACCTCGTATCAGGGACGATCCCCGGCGTGCCTTCATGTTTTCATACCAGGTCATGTTGTCCTGACGTTAGCAGGTTCACACTAAATGATCAGCTATTGATTGCCGATATCATGCAGCAAATGTCCAATGTGCATAACATGGTGACCTACTGTGGCCCTCATCATAGGCATTATTTAACTGTTGCCCCCATTTGCAGGTATAGGGTGTTTAGTTAAGGCGACTAGATTAGATTTTTTTTTTTATTAATACAAAGGGTAAGTGCTTTTTTTCGAATGCCGAAGAAAAGGTATATAAAAAAAATGTGATAGCCGCTGAATTGACATCTAAAAATCCTTCATTAAGAAATGAGCACGTCCTGTCTGCAACCTTCTATAATACCTCTATAAAGTAAACCAGTACATGTCTTAAGGCCGGATAGTCGGCACTTATCCTAGGGTTTCGGCCCACATTATTAGAGCAAAACAGACGCTGAAGAGGGGCTCTGCGAGATAGTGGTAGTTCAACATTTGATGCCATCGGTATCGTTGTAGTATGTTCCACTAGTGTTTCTTCTTAGTGGCTTGTCCGGAAACGGATTGCGAACGACCGGAAATCCGGGTACTTGCTTCTGGCCTGCCATGCTACATGGAGCATTACTATAGGGCAGCAGCTGCACAACGAACGTTTCGCGATACGTAAGTGGATTACCTTACCGGTCCTTTCGACTATAAAAGGTAGTTTCGCTTGACTAGAAATTTGCTTTCTTAGAACCGAGCGAATGTTCTGCCATAGACTGTTACCCAACGTTAGCTAAAAACTAAGACCCATATTAGAGGCAAATTAATCAATTTTGAATTTCGACCGCCATTTTATAGGTGTCACAGAGATTTTATCTGCTGATTCCTTTGGCATTTCTCTTCAGCTAGGCCCGATTCATATCGTTATGATCCCGATTGTGTTGTAAAATTGAAGTAGAGCCAGCACCAATTGAACATCGATGAAATATGTGTTAGGTGCTTTTTTGATAGCACCTCGATTCTTCTGTACAAATCTATTCATATTTATATATAATAAGCAACGGATATATGAAAGGAACGATTTTCCAATGACATCCATAATGAAATGTTGACGTTGTATTCAAACTTCACTGGCTAACAGCTTAATGATCGCTCGACGCAAACTCTGATTTGTTAAATTGTCAATGAATTAACTGTTGTTTTTTTTCTTTAATAATCAAATCGATCGTATTTGACATCAATCCTCTAAGCATTTGTGGAGGCGTTACGGACCGACTCTTACCGGAAAGCTAACATGTACAATGCCAACATTATATGAACGAGATCGATCGTTATACAGCGCAAAAAATGTTTGTCAAGTAGATCCTTCACGACGTAAAGGTAAGTGTGTGCGACATTGCCTCATGAGGTGTCAAAATGAGGCCCAGGATATCTTCAAAGGAATTAGAGAACAGTTCACAGAGATGGAACGTGTACATCTACGTATGCATCTATGCGAGTAGCACCAGAGGACTCAATCCAGTGAGATTACATTGCACGGTTGAATGCACTTTTGTCGTTGGAGAACATACTTCGATATTGCTAAATAGCGGTAAAAGACGTGCATTACTCTCGGCAAATATTATATATATACTTCAGTATTAGGTTCTGTGCAATAAATATAAGCCCTAGTTCGGAACCAAGCGGAACTGGGACGCAAGCATGGACTTGCGAACCCGCTCAACGTGTGTAAACCCATTTTACGTAGTTTGCAAAAGGATAGATACGCTTTTAGTTCATAGTTTTACTAAGACACGTCGGAGGTAACGTGATACAGAGCAAGCAGTTATGAACTGTGAATCTTCTTAAACATTTAGACACGACGCGTTCATCTATGCTTCTCATCTACGCTAGACAATGCCTTTTTTTGCAAACAACATAATATTCTCTATTCAATAGAAGAAGATATTGTCAGCCCATTTTTCTGGGTACGTTGACGGGCTTAACGAACCCAGAAAAACTCGACTACTAGGAACCTGATAATAGTATCTGACAGACAAACATCGATTGTTGAAAATAAGTGACATCTGTATCTATGCAACAATTGAACGAAATCGTACCTAAGATTGACCTAAGCTTACAGCCATCGAGATGCTTTCACCCTAATTATACATTTGGGAGTCAACAAGGGTTTACGCAGTCCTCGTTTGCTCCTTAAAAATAAATTATCGTTTTTTATATGTAAGATACTTCGTTACTTAGCTTCCCCATGTTCAAATATATCGGTACTAGATTTATTTCGATAAGTGACAAAATAATAGCTTGTCGGTACCATTGTTCGAAAGGACACATGCTCTGAATTTTCAAATATTCTTAGTTTTAAATAGCTTTATATTTGACGCAACGACTCGCCTGCTTTTGATGTTGTATCATAAGCCCTTTTTACTCTTAGACAAGACACTTCCCGGCCGTTAGGAGGTTTTCAAAACTTACAAAATAACAACAGGCTCAGTACCTACCGGTTAACTGTGCAAGAAACATTTTTATGTAGGTCTTGTGCTGTATCTCATC